TGAGCTGGATAATCTGTAGCCGCCATCCCTAGCCCCTAACCCCTAACCGCCTAGCCCTAACCCCTAATTCCTTACCCCTAAGGCCTAGCCCCTAACCCCTAACCCCTAACCCCTAACCCCTAACCCCTAACCCCTAACCCCTAACCCCTAACCCCTAACCCCTAACCCCTAACCCTAACTCCTAACCCTAACCCTAACCCCTAAACCCTAAACCTAAAACCTAACCCTAGACCTCGCCGGCCTAGGAGGGAATCCTCCTGGTTGGCAAGGCTGTACAACCTTGCCGGCCAGGAGGATTCCATCCTGGTCAACGGTACAACCTCGCCAGCCCAGGAGGGAATCCTCCTGGCCGGCAAGGTTGACGCTGGCCAGGAGGATCCCCTCCTGGGCTGGTGAGGCTGTACCGTCGACCAGGAGGATTCCCTCCTGGGCCGGCGAGGTTGTACCGCCGACCAGGAGGGAATCCCCTCCTCCTGGCAAAATAGGCTGTAGTAAGCCGGCCCATCCATATGCGAGGAGCTGCGCGCTGACTAAGATCCCAAGAGCAACACCAAAGTTGATAACCTTGCCGGCCTAGGAGGCAATCCTCTTGGCCGGCAAGGTAAAGAAAAAAAAATGTTCTTATTTTTTTGTTTGTAAAAAAAAGGAAATTAATGGGGCCGTCCCATAGGAACCATGCCTGGGTCCTATGGGACGGCCCAGGTCCTAAACGCATATAAATATGCGTTTAGGACCGCATTATTTGGCATTCAGGCAGGCACCCCAACCTGCAGGTGAGTGGCGTGCAGGCGCGCACACCAATCTGCAGCTGGTGTGCACAAGGGGGGTCGGATTGCGCTTATCAACCCCCCATATGTTGCAACCCTTTTTTTCCAACCCAATTTTTGGGTGATGGTTTGTAAAATTATACATTACCCCCATAAAAATGTTATTTTACAAACCATCTGATTTACAAGACATATGCCTTGTAAAATTACAGCGACCCATTTCTTATATCTGATACCCCATAGTGAGTGGGGTTTGTTATAATCTATGACAACCCTTGACACCCTTTCCCCCTTCTTCCTTCCACCTCATCTCATCCCTAGCCTACAGTAAAGTCACTACTGTAGCCTAGAAGAGAGTTGTATTATTTCTCTAAGCTTGGCGCCACAAAGCTTATACCATGTGTGTCCCCTTTAACTCAGGGAGCTAACCCCTCCGCTTTGCAGCGTTGAGGTGAGGTTCCATTCTGCTGGCCTTTAGGCTATAGAACAACCCAAACCCCATCAACGCCTGGTCACCATAGAGACCGGCGCTGACATACCAAGTGGAAGGATTTCCTTCCATTCAACAAGGCACATGTAAAACAACACCCATTTTGGTCAAGGGTTTGTCAGTAGGAGTCGTTTTTCCAATCCCCCCTGGAGGATTGGGATTGGGAGTCGACCTCACAATTCTACATTTGTGTTGAATTTTAAAGCTCAAGAGTGGAAGAGGTTTAGGGCCAAAAAAAGGAGTTCCTAATTTTGGGAAAGGCTCACGGAAAAAGAATGTAAGAACCAATGATTTTTATTCACAAGTATCTAGCTAGGTTTAAATAGACTAAATACAAGTGTGTCAAAATGTGGTTGATTGAAAATGAATAACAAAAAAAACACATTGAATAAAACACTGAGAGAAAGAAACATGAGTCTTTGGAAGAAACAAACCGGACAGGGCTTCTGAGTCTCTTTTAGTCTAGCCAGATGAGTTAATCAAGGAAAAGTATGCTATAATCCACAGATATTTAGAGTTGTTAATTCCAATTAATCAGGTTTTAATAAATCAAACAAAAAGATCAGGAAAGAGAAGAAATCAACATAGAGATATGAGTTGTTGAGAAGAGCTGATCACTTGGGGTTCATATTTGACTCAGAAGGGGCTTAATAACAACAGAAAACAAGCTACTTGATGAGTATATTCTGATCTGATTTTTGACGACTAGAAAGGGAAAGGGATGAAGGGCAGAGAGAGACAGAACTAAGAAAAATTCAACAATTTGAATACACACATACTCAAAACAAAGTACAATACAATGTATATGCAGATACAATATATGTATTGTATTTGTTGCACTGTTGCTGATAAGCTTCATCATCCTGGATTTTGTGGGTAGATCCCGCAAGTGATGATGGTGCATTTCTGTGTTTACTACCTTGTTCAAGGCCGCCATTGTCCACCAAATACCATTCAGATAGAGACCTGTCAGCACCGTGGTGGATCTGATATCTGTGAACAGGAAACAAGAGAACCATCATGAAGACCCACCAAATCAAGTAATTCTTTTTGCTGGCTTCTTTGATTTCATCATCAAGAATGCAAGTGCATTGTGGCCTGTGCGTGCTCTTAGTCAGGAAGCTAAGTGTTGACTATTTTGAAAACAATCCATAGTATATCAAAACACGTGTGTCCGTAAATATGCAAAATACATGAAATATATACATAATCAAGAGAGAAATAACAATGTGCGATTGTAAAGAAGAGGATTGATGTAAGAAACTCCAAAGAAAACTGAAACTATAAGCATAATACAAAAATTGGAGAGATGATTTAGAGGTCAGTTGTGATGGATAGAGATAGTATACAATATTTTGGCTGGGATGAAAGCAATGCAAAGAAAGAAAAAAAGGGAGCAAATTAGAATGATCAGAGTGAGTATATAGTCTATAGACAAGCTTCATAAGTGATTGTCCAATCCAATTGTTGTTACCCTTTGTAGATAAACAAGTCAATCCCAAGACTTCCAAACAAAAACAAAAATCCATTTAAAGTTTGGATGCTGTGATTTTAGGTAGAGGCTGAAAACGATTTGTGCCGGGTCAAGGAAAAAGGGTCAATAGAAATCAGAGGGAAATTTCTGAACGAGAGAGAGAGAGATAAAGGACTGACGATGTAATTTTGCCGGGCCTTGAAGTCAGGAGTGGAGTCGATGACTCTATTCTTAAGAGCGGAGATATCGACCATATCGGGGGACAAGTCGGCGAGAGTAGGAGCACCGACTGAACAAGACAAGTCAATAATCATGAACCAGACTAGGGAGAGAGGGAGGGACTGAACTAAGTCGCATGTTCATCTCCATTTCGTCTTTAAGGATTTGGATAGCCCGGACCACTCCTTGGGATCCATAGACCGAATATGCGTACAGAAACGGTCGTCCTAGTCCGACCCCCGTTGCGCCTAGACACAACGCTTTCAACACATCACTCGCCCGTCGCACTCCTCCATCCATAAACACCCCAAACTCTCGCGGATTCCAGGAGCCCAATTCTCGCAACTTGTCGACGACTTCTACCAATACTTCTAGTCCTGATCGGCTGTAGTCTAGCTGTCTTCCTCCGTGATTCGAGAGTACTATCCCTTGTAATCCGCGCTCTTTGGCCATCACCGCATCCTTGTTTTGTGCAATCCCAAACAAACAAAAGAATCAATATGGAATTTTATTCTTGAAAAAAAAGGAAAGGAAATAAGTTATAAGAAGGAATGATTGATTTACCTCCCATGATTGAACCCCTTTCAAGAGTATAGGAAGCTTAGTGATACTCCTCAACCAAGGAATATCATCCCAACTAAGACTAGCATCGATAAAGCTGCTGATAGCTCTGGTGGCACCTTGAGATCTGTCTACTTTCTCGTTCTCTTTATTTTGGACATCCGAGCCTAGGTCTTCAAACCTATCGTTTCCCAAGAAAAGAAATTAAAACACCGAGCTTTTTTTTTTTTAAAAAAAAGGATATAAGATGAACATTATACACAACTTGAGTCTCATATCCTTTTCACGACGGCCTAATTGAGGCGCATCGACGGTAATAAAGAAAGCCTTGATCCCGGCACGTTCAGCCTTCAGGATCAGCTTCTTGGTTTTCTCGCGATCCTGATTGACATAGACTTGATACCATTGGTTCTGAGATTCTGCCCGAGCTTGGACGAGTTCTTCAAAGGCGCATGAGGCTAAGGTCGGTATCATTTGAATTATTCCTTCCTGGCCAGCCGCGATCGTTAGGTTCTTTTCTCCTTCTGGATGTCCTAGTTTTCCTAGTGCTGTAGCTGTGATATATCTGGATGTAAATTTGCGACTCAGTAAATGAATCATTATCGAGGATCTTTATCAGAGATGATGGGAAAAAAACGGGTCAAGAGAGCTTACATAGGCATACTGGACTTACAACCGAGTAATTCACACGAATAATCTATCCGTCTTACATCTCTTAAGATTCTTGGTCTAAACCAGACCCGTTGAAACGCCGCCCGATTTTCGCGTAACGAGATTTCATCGTCAGATCCGGAGGAGTAGTACGCCCATGCCTGGGCAGTCATTCTTGAAACCGCAATCGACTCGAAATCGTAGAGACTTAAACAACTCGAGAGACTAGGCACATGATCCGCTTCGTCGTTTGATGAGCCTTGTTTACTCTTATTCTTAGTACTATCGTCCGGTTGTAACCTACCCTCATTTTATCAAAGTTAGTCATCTGCTTTTTTTTTGAGAATTAAGGTACTCACATCTTTAGATCGGTCTCTTTCACGCGTCCTTTATGATGCTGCTTATCTAGATATTCCTCGATGGTTCCCGGAGGATGAATAGGATCATAAACGTCACTATATGCACGTGACACATTTAATTCCTCTCAATGTCAGTCTCTGAAATTCACTGCTTTTTTGTGGGAACAATTGGACTCACCTGGCATCCATTCCAGCATACTTGAGTAGGATAGCTTGTCCACCCTGTTTTTTTTTTTTGACATCTACAAATCAGCACATTGGGAGTTTTACAAGAATGAGAGATGGACTGACTGGATGTTCTGGTAAGAATTCGGTTAGGTCGTATGCTTGTTTGTGGATGACTATCCAACATGAACTTGAGTTGGAATGCTTCTTGATCTCTTCTGCGCTTAGTTCTTTCATCCTTTCTTGGAGTAGTGATAGTATGAAGTGGCTGCTGGTCAATAATGGTCTCCTTCCTCTTCTTCTCTCCTTCTCCTTCTCTTGGGGGTTGAGAGTGTCACATCACTGTTACATCTCCCTCCAGCACTCAATGTCACATTAATCAACCTGAAGCCAGTAAGTTGGTTCACAATGTGTTTAGAAAGATGATGGATGCACCAGATGACAATAGTGTTCTAACTGGATGACTTCCACGGGTCTCCCAGTTTCAATTTAGAGCTTCGAAAGCTAGATTGGAGGACTTCCTGTGGGATCTGGGACCCTTGCAAATTCCGATTTAGACCCAAAAAGTCTAGATTTTTGCAGGGAAATCTAGCTTTTGCGGCTCTAAATCAAAACTGGGAGACCTGCAGATGTCAACAGGAAGTCATCAATTTCCCTGCGAAAATCTAGACTTTTTGTGTCTAAATCGCAAACTGCGAGGGTCCCAGATCCGACGGGAAGTCCTCCACTCTTGCAATTCACTTTTCTTTTGAACTGGATATAAATTGCGCTCTGGGGCTTCTAACAACGGTGCAACAGAGACAATACGATACGGTATCAGGCGTTTATCTGTATTGTCTCAGAATTTGAATACCCAAAAATACCGGATTTGTGTTGTCTCACTTTCCTGAGACAATACACACGTATCGTCATTGGAAAGTGAGACAAGTGTTCTGTATTGTCTCAGATGACTGATCCCACCAAAAACGTATTTGATACATAAGATATTTGGCCGTATTGAAGAAAAAACAAAAAAACAAAGACAATTTTTTTGGGGGCTTGGAAAAACGATTCCTAAAAATTAGTCGACGACTCCCGTTTTGGTCGGGAGGTCGTCGGACGGGAGTCGTTCTTCCAATTCCCCCCAAAAAAAGGGGAGTCGTCGTCCTAATTTCAATGGCAATTTTTTAATTTTTTTTATTAAAAAAATGGGAGTCGCCCGCCTAAAGGGCGGGAGTCGTCGTACCAATTTAGCCAAATATTTTTTATTTTTTTCATTAAAAAAATTGGGAGTCGTCCGCCTAAAGGGCGGGAGTCAGCGCCCCAATTTATCCAACTAATCTATTTTTTTTTATTAAAAAAAAAGGGAGTTGTCCGCCTAAAGGGCGGGAGTCGGCGCACCAATTATAACCAATATTTTAACCTTTTTTCTGCATTAAAAAAACGGGAGTCGTCCAACTCAAAACAGGAGTTAAGTTCAGCCACTGGGGCCCCGCCCCAAAGGCACTTTATCGATGATTAAAAATTAGATTCATTGAGAAAAACAAATTCAAGAAATAATTGAAATAAATTGATGAGATGTTGAGAAATGTAAACAAAAAAACAATGAGAAATGTAAGAAAAAAACAGGGATAAAAGAATTCAATTGATGAGAAATATAAGAAAAAAACACAGGGTAAAAAAGGACAGAGGAAAAAAAATAAAAACTAAAAAAAGACACAGGCAGAAAAAAAACTAGTAGTGGGTCATTGGATTTTGAATCTTCCTCCCTACAGTCAATTGGAAACAATCAGAAAAGATGGCTTCCCATCCCCAAGCCTCCTCTGATGCCTTTTCTTTCCAATCATTCATGAGCTGAGGGGCCGGAAAGAGTCCGGGTAATTGGCCTGACGACTCCCGAGGAAAAAAAAAAAATTTCAAAAAAATTAGAGATCGTTCGTTCGTACTTTTTGCAGGTACCTTGTACCTCCTGGGAGGTACCCCTTGCACCCGCCCCGCACCCGCCAGGAGGTGCCAGGTGCGGTACTTGGTACCTATTTTTGTGAAAATTTGAACAGGTACCTAGGTACCTCTACAGGTACCCCCTCACTTCCCTACCAAAAATGAAAATGATGGTGGCCTTCTACTCCAAGAACTCCAAGATCCAAGAAGGTACCTTGGCTGCATGGAAACAGGGACTCAAGGATAACAAGAAGTCTAGCAGAACATCAGAAAGGAAGGTGATGATTTTGGATGGCAATGAAGATTCTTCCAATTAGTTATAAGTTGTAGATAGTTTAAACTTTGCAATTAATTATTAGATATGAACAAATGAAAAAAATGAGTTGGGACTGATGTTTTACAATAAATATGAAAAAAATAGAAAAGTAAGATTCTTCCAATCAGATGTAGATATATTACAATAGATATTAAAAAATGCCAAAAAAGTGACTTGTGAGTGATATTTTACAATAAATATGAAGAAATAATCATAATAATAAAGTGACTTGGGACTCTGGGAGTGAAACTAGGTGAAAAAGAGAGGGGGGGGGGGTACCTGAGGTACCTGCAACAGGTACCTTGGGTACCCCCCGGGAGGTGTCTGGTGCGGTACATGGTATCTATTTTCTTGAAAAAATGAACAGGTACCTAGGTATAAACAGGTACCTAGGTCCGAACAAACAATCTCTAAAAAAAATTAAAGATCAAATTTGGGAGGCCGACTCCCGCCCTTTAGGCGGACGACTCCCAATTTTTTTAATGAAAAAAAGTAAAAAATATTTGGCTAAATTGGTACGACGACTCCCGCCCTTTAGGCGGGCGACTCCCATTTTTTTAATAAAAAAAATTAAAAAATTGCCATTGAAATTAGGACGACGACTCCCCTTTTTTTTGGGGGAATTGGAAGAACGACTCCCGTCCGACGAACTCCCGACCAAAACGGGAGTCGTCAACTAATTTTTAGGAGTCGTTTTTCCAAGCCCCTTTTTTCATTTGTAAATCCAAATCCAATACAATATATTTTTTCACCAACCAAGGAAATACTGATACCGGTATCAGGCTCAAAATAAATATCATATGATCCGATACGAATACATGTCTCGTATCTGTTGCACCGTTGCTTCTAACAAGGTCATGTGGCACTTGAAAAAACTCATATCGGCAACTTATCCCATCCTAAAACGCAGGTTGAAGTGGAAGACAAGTTTCTTTGTGATTGACCCCTGAAACGCAGGTTGAAGTGGAAGACAAGTTTCTTTGTGATTGACCAACGTAACACAAGTCCCCCCTGGTGGGGGGCTTGCTGTGTAGCACTGGTGTTAGCAGGGGAGGGACTTTTGGATCTTTGCAGATAAATTCAATTTTTAAGCAGGAGCAAAAAGTGCACTTTGCATGGGAGCTTTCTTAATTGTATAATAACTCTAACAAAAGTGGTCCCCAGGTTCTGCCTTAATGTTTTACAAATCTCAAGCATGTTCCCTTCATTTTGGTCCTTTCAGAATTCACCTCTCACTGTTCATTGATTTTAGGCCCTATTTGGACACATTGTTATATGTTATCATTTTTAGAGTTCAGCGCTAAATTGCATGATGTATATTTATTTATATATAACTAGTACATGCCCCCATTTTTGGGGAGTTTTGGTTGGTAATTTTATTTGCCCCAATTTTTTTAATTGGGTGTTTACTTGATGACCTATGGGGTTTTCTTGAGTTGGACACCTGTCTGCCTCGGTCTAATGCCAGCGTCAACAAATCCAACAAATGTGAATTGGAGGTCAATACTGGTGTTAGATTGCATGACAGTTTGTTTGGCTCTCTAAGCCTATTTTTTAGTTATATGTAGATGATGTAGCACAATCACATGCTGAACTTTAAAATTTATAATGTATATGTGGTGTTCAAAACTGCATATGCAAAGTTTAATTACTTCTGCAATTATGACTGTGGCCTGTCAATTTGAGTTTCAAGTATGCTGACAGGTCCCTGCCAAAATCTTGCTTTATACTGTTAGACTCAAAACTCCATATGCAGTTTTGATCACCATAATAACGGTGTCATACAAACGGGCCTTGATAATTTCCAAATATTCAGGCTCTGTTTGGCAGTACATCATAACACCTTTTATGTAGGCCGCTACACTAACTTGAGTGGGCTGTTTAGTGTAGTGCTGTTTAGTGTAGTTTAGTGTAGCCTCCCAGTCCCATTGCTGATGGGTGATCTGGAGAACAGAAAAGAATTTAAAAAGTTGGTGGTTAATTATGGAAAGAAAACATTGTGAACATCAAATTTGGGCCCAAAGTGTTCCCCTACTACTAAAAAAACAAGCACAGAATAACTTGGAAAACAAAGGGCTTCTTATTTGACCCCGTGGTGACATGGGCTGATGGGATTTATTCAATTTTTCCTAATGTATGTTGATCCTTGTCATTTGGTATTGTGACCCTTGCATGATGCTTGACCTCCACCACCCTGGCAGTGTTGATCTGGTTTACCGCCATGACCTGTGTAAAACACACCTTGGCCACCGCATTGGTATATGGATCTATGGCACTGCCATTTCATGCAGCATCAGTTGCACCAATTGAGCCACTAGCAAAACCCCTGGCGGTCAATCCAATGGCAACACCCATGACCAAGAGCAGAGTCAGTGAATAAAGATTCACATGTAATCTGTGCATGATGATAATCCAGATAAATTTTCACCCATTATTAGCCAGGTATACGCGGGTGCTGATAAATGCACACCCTCCCCCTCCTGCCCCTCCAAAAGGGGCGGGGAGGAAGACCCTCCCTTTTTTTTGAGCAGGTTTTGCTCCACACCCCCCTGTTTGCTGACATTTGCAAAAAATGGAGTGTGCAGTACAGCCTGCCCCAGAAAGGGGTGGGTTGGCCTGCACACCACAGATTTAGACAGGGTGACATAAGGAAAACACTTTGGAGTGCTTTGCTTGCATCAGGGTGCCAATGGCTCTTTCCTCCCAGCCTTTGAGACTTGTACAGTCTCAAAGGCTGGGAGGAAAAATGCCGGTTGTCAAGGCCATACAGTCTTGACAACTGGGGGGAATACTTGCGGCCATTGAGACTGTACAAGTGTTGAAGGCGAGGAGGAATCCCTCCTGGCCATTGAGACTTGTACATTCTCAAAGACCAGGAGGAATCCCTCCCTGCTATCAAGACTGTACTACAAGTCTCAAAGACTGGGAGCAATCCCTTACAAGTCTTGAAAATTGGGAGGAATCCCTGGCTATCAAGACTGTACAAGTCTCAATGACCAGGACTTGAAGGATTCCTGCCAGTAATCAGGAATGTACGGCCTCAACGACCAGGAGGTTTCCTCCCAGCCATCAAGACTGTACAAGTCTTGTTTCCATGATGGAAATCTGTTGCATCTTGAGCTTCTTCATATCCAATTTCAGAGGTTTAGCTCCATTCCTTTGTTTCAAGCTTTGAGGACTGAGAAAGCTGAGAAATATTCATCTTGGCAATGACCCTCTTCTAAAACAGAATATCAGTCAAGTCCACAGTTTTGCACTTGGATGACAGGAGATTTGTTGCCAGATCAGACATGAATGCAGGATGATGGTTTCAGATATTGCTTTGTTTTTTCTAAAAAGATGCTCTTGTTACCTCTTGTTTTCAAAGGTAAATATGTAGACAGATCACAAATTATGGTTGAAAAAATAGACAGTGGTAATTCAACACTGCAACAGGTACAGCATTTGCAATGTATTGGCATGTGTCATCCCATGTATCACTTTCTTTGTGTAATTTTTTTTTCATGACCAATGTGAGTCTATGTATGTAGAGTGACATACAATGTATGTGGCCTTTAGACATAATGTATGTTGGTACAATTCCTCATGACACAAACTGTGTATCATATTTGTTTCAGTGTTGGTGGTATTTTTGGATCTGCAGGGTCTGGATTATCACCTTACATTACATACTGTAAACCTGTTTCACAAGAAAAATTTAGAATTTCCTGGTCACATTTGGAATCTAGAAGGGCTGTAGATTTACAATCTGAAGGAAGATGATAAGCCTCACTATTGAGTTGATCTGTGGGTCCCCCAGAACCAATTTAGAGCCTGATCATAACCTAGAGTTCCCAGAGAAAATCTAGACTTCTTGGGTCCAAATCAAAATCTGCAAGGGTCTCAGATTTGATGGGAAGTCCTCCATTATCTTCTATTATCTTGTGCAAAGATTGCATCACTGATGACCCGGAGCCATTTGGCATCTTATTATGTGGGGAGATGTTTATAGCTGACAGTCAGGTAATCAATCATTTGATGCTTTTGTCCGAAAATATTTGCAACATCAGGACTGCTCATGGGTAAGTTTGCAGTGATGCTTTCAAGCCATTCTTTCAGGAGGAGCTTTGCATGGAGTTTCCTACGTTTTGGCGAAGATCCTGGAATGGTTGTGAAAGGCCATGTGAACGTTTGAGCTAGTCATTACCCGAGGCCTTCCCCCGGGGGCGGAGGCATGTCCAAGAAGTTCTTGGCCCAGAGAGTTCTCCCAGAAAAACCCAAGCAGCAACCCACTACTACTACACTCCTACTTGAGCAGGATGGCACTCAACTGCTCGATGATCACACCTACTAATGACCCAGTACCACTACCAGGTAAGACTGCATTACTAACATAAGACCCATGAACGAAAAGAATAGCAACTGACTGAGAATGAATTGACGACACCGTAGGCGAAAAGATCTTCATCAGTGTCAAAGCCGTTACCATCTATCTCCATCCAACCACGCCGGGTGCAGGAACGACGAGCGAACCAACACCACTTTCACCCACCTCAGCCACCACCTCCCAACAAGACCCATCGAAACAGTCGGCGAAGGGAAAGCTATCATTGAGCGGGATCCTGTCTGCGATCTCCCTGAATCCGGCAAGCGATGACGGCTCGGCTCATGGGACGATCTATGTGACCAACCAGCGGATCCTCTTCATCGCCCACAACGCCTCCGCCTTGGCCGACTTGGATCCGCCGACGCTCCAACCCCCGGCCCCCTCCTCTCAATCTAACCCATCTATCCTGCTTCCGCCAATCAAAACACTCACTATCCCGCTCCGTAACTCCTTCGATGGCCGCTTCGTTCAGCCTTGGTTATCCGCAAATTACCATCTCTCCACCTTCGTCCCCGTCCCTAATGGGAACTTGGACCATCTCTTCCCCTCTTCTGCAAACTCGCATTCGGCAATGGATTCTTTCACGCTCAAAGCCGTCTTCAATGAGGGTCATGGCTTCGAGTTCACTGAGGCACTCGAAGAAGTCAAGAATATCATGTTCCAGAGCGACAGTGAACGGCCTGCTGAACTCGAAGAACTTCGTACGATCCCTTTTTTCGGTATTGTATCCTTTTTTTTTCTATCTCCACGCGGTGA